ATTCTGCTCTTTTTTTTTTTATTTTAATGTCAGATTTATACTGAGAAACGTTTCGTCACTCATCCAGGTGACTTCTTCAGTCTCAGCTGACTGCAGGTTTCCCCAAACGTATAAACAGTACATTTGCATAATGACTGAAACCAGTCCACTGAGGGAACAATGGGCTGGGAGGTCAGTTAGCTGAGACTGAAGAAGTCACTTGGATGAGTGACGAAACGTTTCTCCCACTACGCTACGTCCAGATGAACAGAATCAACTTTTGGAGATTTACTTTCCTGGATGATTGAGCATGCATCAAGACGAAACTGTTAACATAGTTTGCCGGTCACTTAATATCCATATGCAAAAGTCCTGAGCCGCCCCTCATTTGTTTATACTTTGTTAGGAAAATGGGAAATAGATGTAACGATTTATTGAAACATGCAAACATACATGGAAGTGCAGTTTTCAGTTCTAGCAGGCTGGTATGACCACCATCATTCTTATTCAACACATTCTGAACTCTGTGAGCAGCTTTCTTGTCATTTCTTTAAATAGTCTTCAGGAATAGTTCTCCAGGTTCTTTGGATGTTTCTGCATTTTGTTACAATCTCTGTTAAGATGATCCCACACTGCTTCAATAATGTTGAGGTCCAGGCTCTGATGAAGCCAGTCCATGACTGGTAGTGCTCCACTGTGTTTTTCTATCCATGTATGCTTTTACTACACTGGCAGTGTGTTTGGGATAAGTGCATCAAGAGACAGGTGCATGCATCAAGATGTGTTTGGGATAATTTAATGCTTAAATATGAAGCCATTGCCAATCAGATGCTTTCCAGATGGTATTGCATTGTAACATTTTGCACTTCGTTATGTTCATGACTTATTCCGTTTTGACATGATCCCTAACAGCACTCGCTGCTGTACCTCTTTCTCGACCTCCTCTGTACATATTGATGACAGTTTGAATCATGACGCTTCCTCAAACAGTAGATGGATCAGCTGCAGGTCTTTTCTGGATTTTTTCCCCACAGTTTCTTGGGAACCTGACTTTCAGATATCTAGAGCAGATCATCTACTGTAGATATTATTTAGGCATGCCACTCAGCAAAAGAAAAGATATTGCTCAGGTAAAAGGACTGGACTGAAAAAGTAAAAAAAATAGGCCGTGTCCTAAGAAAAAGTTTGAAAACCCTTCTGAAAGGTGGAGAACTATTTCTCAAGTTTTAAAAATTGAGGTGTAGAGACTTTAGTATTTTACTGTAGTCAAATGCACTTTGAAAACATGGACATATACTCAACCAAATCTAAAATAGTATCAAATAACAATTAGATGAAGATATGTGTTTACAGCTTAAAAACATGTACATTGTTTAACACCAGGATCTTTTGTCTCCTGCAGGTGATGCCTAGACTTCGGATCGGGATTGGCCGGCCGACAGGGAAAACGTCTGTGGACCGTCATGTTCTGGGCAGATTCACCACAGAGGAACAGAAACTCCTGGATTCTGTTTTGGTCCAGAGTGTGGACCTCCTCCTTTCCCAGCTTTCCCAGCAGGACTCACAACAGGACTCCCCGCTCCCCTCCTCACCAGCAGGGGGCAGACAAGCTGCACAGAAGAGAAACGAGAGGGCCCGCTCAGGCTCACAAGCTGAGGACTCTGCAGCAGCTCAGAGCTGAAGCTGAAACCTGAACTCTGTTATCACACATAGAACTGCCTCAAAGAGAAAACATGAACCACTTTATCTTTATTTATTCACTTAAAGGTGATGTTGTTACATGAAAAGTCTCAGAGAACAAGAGGAGAACCGAGAAATCTTGTTGTCTTCAGGTTTGTTCCCTACACGATGAACCAGTTTTTTTTATTCACTTTGCTGAAAAGCTGGAAGTGAAGCCAGAAGCTTGGCTCAGTCTGTGGCAGAGGACAGTCTGTCTGTGAGATATGAAAATAAATCGTTATTAAACGAAATAAATTTGATTATCTGATTTTCATGCACATTAAGAGCAGTTGAGCATTTATTTACATTAAAAACATTTAAAATCTGCAAACTATAGACTCTCTGACACCAGTACTACTATACTAATACTAATAATACCTGCCCTGACCGACTAATTCTAATGAACTCATTGACCACTTCATGAGCTTCACCGTGCTCATACAGGTCTGGACTCCCTTTTGCCTTCAGAGCTGCCTTAATTCTACCTGGCACAGATTTAACAAGCTGCTGGAAACAGTCCTCAGAGATTTTGGTCCATGTTGACACGATAGCATCACACAGATGCTGCAGATTTGTTGACTGCACATCCATGATGTGCATCTCAAAGGTGCTCTATTGGATTGAGATCTGAGATCTGTTGAAGCTGTTAAAGTACAGTAAAGCCATGATATGTTCAAGAAGTTTGAGACGATTTGAGCTTCATGGTGTGTTTTCCTGCTGGAAGAGGCCCCTCTAATCATAAAGTGATGGACGTGGTCAACAACAATAGGTGGGCTGTGGCATTAAAGTAATCCTCAGCTGGTAATAAGGGGCCCAAAGCGTGCCAAAAAATATTTATAATATGAATATGTCCTCACAAAGATAGCCAAACTAACATGCGTGTATCTGTATGAGTTCTACACACAGAGTGGAGCAGGCGGTCACTATGCTGGTAATAGAAAACAATTTTGAGCTAAACTAAGTGAAGGGCCAAATGACCACCCTAATCCTACCGCACTCACTCTGATCCACAGCAGTTCACTCATAGTTGCAGACACACTGACATATCTAAAAATATTCAATTTACCTCCCACAAGCGACGCATACAATATATGAAATACTCTTCTTAATATGTGATGGGATGCTAACAACAGTTTATTATACTTTGCACTCTGCATTTGCACTTTCTTCTTGCAGTCGGTCAAAGGTCAAAGTCTCTGAGCCTTCAGTCGTGTGTTATTGATTTTTTTGTTCTTTATTTGATGATCATGTTCTTTAAGTTAGAGGCTTCCTGGGTGTTTTTTATTCGTGAGCAATGTCAGTAGAAGGAGCTGAACCGCTCTAAAACAAAGACTTGTTTAAGCTCATCTTCTCTTTTTTTTGTATCTGAGAGTCCACGTGTGACTCTGCCCCCGACATACGGTTCTCCTCTCCAGCTCGTCCTCCCTGTTGTGGCTCTTTTGGCCAAAAACATATTGATTTCCTCTTCCGATTGTCCCACTAATTGCGCCTCTTCATCAATTATGTGTCTTTAATGAGTTGCATCCCGTCAAGAGGTGCGCTGCATTCTCACACTGCTGAGAATGCCAGAGGAAGGTTAGTGGAGGAATGGAGGGTTCGGCGGGGGAGGTGGCGTACAAAAAAAGGGCAGAAAACAGCGGAAAGAGGCTGACGAGCCGCTGAATGAGGGAAATCAATACAAAGGAGGCCAGTAGATTGCGATGGAGGGCAGAAGAAGAAAGGCAGGCGAGAAACAAAAGGGGGCAAACATTGTTTAGACCCAGATTTTTGAGGCCTTCTGTCCTGCTGTAGCTCAGACGTACAATAGCTGTAGGGACACACTTGTGGACATGAGGGAGAGAAAGGGGGGAGCTCAAAGGAAACTTCTATGACACCCCCCACCACACACACACACGAACACCCTTCGCCCTCCTAAACCCCCCATCTTTCTCTGCTGTGTTGAGCCACCTTTTGCCTCCATCAGGCCACTTTCCCAGCCCTTCCTCTCTGGTCAGCTTTATGAGGCCTTACCAGCAGCTTCAGTAACTTTTCTTCTGTGTGGGTCAAAGGTCAAAAGCAGGCTGAACACCCAACCTTTAGAGAAAAAAACAAAATTTATTCAAGAACAGCCTTCAAACCCTCCCCCTGCGCTCTATTCCCTGGAATAGCAGCCCAGTGGGGGGTCTTCCCTCTAACTCTGAAGTAGCACAAAACGAGCCCTCGGACTCCGCTGGCAGTGGGAATTTAGATAATTTAGCTTATTAAGCAGATCTATGTTAATGGTATGTATATATTTTATCAATGATACTTTATATTTGGCCCTTTAGAACATCATTTTCCACACTTGAATAAAAGTTGGTCCTCACTTGGTGAACCCTACTCCCGACTTTTCCCAAAGCTTGACCAAAGACTTTCATGGATTATTTCGCACATTTCTAGCTCCATGTTTTTATACCTGACTCTACCAGGGCAGCTCAGGGCAATTCAGAGTTCAAAATAATCCTTATTCATCTCACATTGGGAAGTGCTGCAGCCCCTCAGTTTATCCCTAATGTGAAATAAGCTGTTGGGGGTCTTCTTTCTTTAAGGTGATCCTGCCTTTAAACTAGCTTCCTTCTGATTGGTTTCAGGAGGTTTGAAAAGCAGGTAGGTGGGGCTTCCTGTCTTTATGACATCATACTGATCCAAATGTAGGAAAAAACTCCTTGAAACTAAGTGTCTGAAGCATGAACTTTTGGGATAACAGGGATTATCTTTACATGCAGTGACCTCATAATATGGTTATCTGAACCTTTGGGAATGGGACTTCCCTGGAAAAGCACAACAAGTCTTTGATGAACAGTTTTGATTAGGCAGAAATGTGGGGACAGCAGCTTATTGAATTTGAGGATGTTTTTTCAGTGGGATAAACAAAATCAAGAACTATTCTCAGAGTATTCTTGGGTTTTTCAAGTTAAATCTAAAACCACTAAACTAATGTCTTAGCTCTGACTCAGCTTAGAGGTTCATAACGTACATACAGTGTCAATGATCACGTACTTCCATACTTTAAATATGTACTTTGACTCTGTAAATGTTGTCATGCTATACAAACAAAGCTACAATAACTATTATCCAGAGAGAGAGAGAGAGAGATGCCTCTTTAATGACACAAGTTTGAATTTATTTTGGATTTTCTCTAATACACAGAAGGTCAAAAGTATACATAAAGGCTCAAATACATACACTCACTTAAATCTTTTAATAAGTGGGGCTAAAGCTTCTTCTAAGTTGACAAGGCCTAACCTAACTTCTCTTTAGTAATCATGATTGACTATAGCTGGTAGTTTTTCTTTCTGAACTCATCGGATTGATCATTGTTCAAAGCAGTGGGAAAGTCCAAGAATAGTAGAGCTGCACAATTTTACCTAAGTACAAGTTATTCTAATATGTCGCCCCTTTGCCAGCGTCTGGAACAACACCCAAACTGTCACCAGTGCAGTCCATAAGATAATTGATTAGGATGTTCAAGAACAAACCCAGAAGCCACCAAGACTCAAGCCTGCCATGAATTGAAAGTGCTGGAACACCAGGGTGCTGGCAGAGAAAGAAGCTTCTGCTCAATGACTGACATGTTCAAGCTTGACTGAAATTTTCTGCAAGCCAAATGCCTTCTGGAGAAAAAGGTTTCATGGTGAAACGAGACAAAGCTGTCCGAAGACTTCATGAGTCTTTGGACAGCCTATAATGTAAACTACATAAGTGGCCAACGTCATTGTTGGAATTTATGCTGTGGTGGTACAATATGTGCAGTTGTGGCAAACGCGCTCCTGTGAAGTCCTCCAAAATCCTAATTGTGCATCTTTGGAAGATAAATCCTGTTCCAGAAATGCAATTACATCAAGTCAGTGCAGTCCACAATACTGTGACTGGCCTGATTGTTCCTGTGCACTTTTTCTGTGCTACTTTTTGGCGGCAGTTTTGTGTACAAAATATGTACAAATATATTTGCCCCCCCTCAGACCCTCCCCCAGAAATGACCGGGACCCAGGAGAAAAAAAGTCCCAGCATTTTACTTTCTATCAGCTAGCACTGCATACAAAATAAGCTGAATAAGCTGAAGCTTGATTTTGACTTCCGTGGAAAATCTACATCCTAACTTACAACGTAACCAGAAACCCCTCTTAACCGTACACAACAACATTTTACGCCATTCACGTTGTAATGGGCTGGGTGGACCCGACGTGTAGTTAAATTTCTCGGGAGGTGCACATCAAGTTACATTTAAGGTTAAGGTAGGGTTTAGAGCTGTTTCCGGTTACGTCATAAGTTACAGCGTAGATTTCCCAAAGTATAATTAAGCCGTTACTCCTTAAGTTGCGATGTAGGGTTTCAGAGGAGTTTGCACCTATGTAGCTACGGCACAGATTTCCCACTGCAGTAAAAGTAAAGGTGAGGCTTGTAAACCTAAGAATTCTATTTTTGTTGTTGTTTTTCTGACTGGTGCCAATATTTTTTTTTTTTTACAGCTGAAATTTTGTTGACCTATTTAAAATTATATTCTTACAATGCTGTACTGAGTTATGATGATAGTATGGCTGAGAATACCTTCATGATTTCCTAAATATATCCTTTATATATCCTAAGGGACTCACTGTGGTGCTAAATAGTAAGCTAACAGCGACCTTAGTGTGTTTTATCTCTTCGTTTATTACTGTAATGTTACAGCAGGGACATGTGCTGCATCTGAGGTCCTTCAGTATCACTACAGTTTCTTTTTTTTTTTCTTCCATCATCACAGAATAGACTGAAGCCATCCTGGTTTCCCATGGCAGTTCACCGTGTTACAGTGAATCCAGGCCCATTGGGGACCCCTTTCTCATTCGCCTCTTTCCGATGAGCAAGCATTAATAACGCGTCCTTTTCTCCTTTCATAGCCATAATCTCCAGTGATCTCAGGCCTCCCGCACTAAATTATTCTTACAGGCCCATGAAAAGGCAGCAGCGGGGCCCTTTAAGAGGCAAATGAGCATCCAACGTGCAAAGATGTTCCCAGCAACGGAAATGTTAACTCACCGTATAGAGCAGAGCAGGGCAGAGGGAAACCACTGGCATGTCTGATGAGAAGGGATGGAAACATTTGCCATCTCCCTGAAGGCAAAGCCTGCTGGGTAATTTATCCTTTAACCCCTTGTCTAACTGTTTACATTTGGCTTTAAGCTGATGGGTTTATTTAGAGCAGTGCTCAAGGAGTGCAACCGTAGAATAAAAAGAATGTTGACTCCACAATGTAGGATTTATTTCAAGCTTTCAGACCACCATGAAAAACCAAATGTCAACCATGACCGATGCCAATATTTAGATATACTTTGGATTTCACACACAGCCGTACATTTCTAAGCATTTCTCTCATTTTGTATAATTCTGCACCAAGTGATTTTTGTTTGTAGTCCAGTAGGTAGTAACACTTTCAAAGTAAAATACAATTTATAATCATATTGTTTCCAAAATCCTTAAAATACTGTAGTTGCCACATTCAGATATTTTAGAACTATAGAAATATTTTGGTAAATGTGTAAAATACACAGCTTTGCACATAATTTTTGCCAGAATATCTTTCTTTTTCTTTAAAAGACATCATGGCATAATAGAGACAGCTGAAACAAGTATTTACACTGTCATTTTTCAAATAAAATAACAGTAATAATAATATTATTACTGTTAAACCAGATATAAGAGGTTTCTCTTAGATGGCCCTCAAGGTTTCAGTATAGGAAAGGGTGCCTCTTCTGCTAATTTCCAGCTTCGATATATTTAATCTTGCATTATACAAAAGTGCTTGAGTGATCCAGACCTCTATCTATGTTCGGTTGGGCTCTGGAGCAGCCCCTCAGTTAATAGTCTGTCTAAAACGAGCTCTTTTACCTCCCTCCCCCCTCCCTGTGAGACAACTTTAATCTGACTGGTTGCCCCTCATAAAGAGAAAGTTTGAATAGCAGGTGGGTGGGGCTTCCCTGCTTCAGATGACCATATTAGGGATGTCTCTTTTAATGACATCATACAGATCCAAGTGTTGAAAAAAAAAGGCTCAGAAATTCAGCCTGTTAGAACCGTCTGAAACCTGAGCTTTGTTTATAAGATTAATGGTTGACTGACTTCATCGTTTGAAACTTTGGCCATGTTTAATTTAAACATTCACCATGGAAACAATGTATAAATACATCTGAAGGTAAGGATTAAGTGATCATGTATCAACCCTGCGCTCATTGAAGTTCTCATCTTTTTAACGTGCTATATCAGTCATTGAAAGCTGAGTCTTGGGCCAACTAAGATTTAAGAGTGGACATTAAGCTTAGTTTCGGGAGATTTTCATAACACATAATCTAAACCATGTAGAAACATTGTAATGATCAACCTCATGTTGTGGATGGACTTCTTTTAGACGTTTTCTTTGCTGATGTTTGATACATTCATCTCTTTTATGAACTGAGGGAACAATTCAACCCTCACATTTTCCCCATACTAATGTGTTTAATTAGCCTAACCTTAGTACTCTAGCTATATCGTTATATGTCAGCCAGCGCATTTCACTAACCTTGTCAAGCCTCTTTGGTATTTAATTTTTCTTCTTCTTGTTTGTGTACAAAATTATAGCAATTAAAATGGTAAAACATAAGGAGTTATATTAGAGGAAACAAAAAGGGTTGTTTCTGCCACTGGAAAAAAAAATTGGATCAAAATTTCAAGTTATTTCCTCAATTTTGAGCTATTGTCCCAGATGTTAGTGAGTAAACTGTTTGACCTCAAAAAACTTTTGAGATTTTTTTTTCATTTTCTGGTAGTGCAAACAAGCTCTCTTGGTAATGTGATTTTTATCATTTAAAATAGCTATCAAACTGAGAGTTTGTGATTTGTCTGTGAGTTTTACTACCATAAATTGTGAATATGCTGACAATAAAGTAATTGCACACTTATATCAGTAGATATATGAGGAAAAGTGTTCCTTGGTTAACAGTGATCAAAACAGGAAAGTTTACATTGTTATTAATTATTATTTTCAAAATCTAAACAAAGGTCATTTAAAATTTTTTTTTTTTTAAATTAAATTTTACATTTCTCTTTAACTTTAATATGGTAAGTTTATTTCTATATACTTTACTATAAGTTGGATTAAGGATAAAATTTAACA